ACACACACACACTGTACTTTCATTATATATTATTACATACATTCTTACTTACTTGGTGGCCGCTCCGATCGTGCAGCTTGGCATGGGCGGCTGGAGTTCCGGGTTTAGGGTTCAGGATCGCGGCTTATTTTCGGGTCCGAGTTTGGGTGTGTCCGTCCAGGTCAGAGGCCTATTTAAGTTTGGGGGGGGGGGGGGGGGGGGNNGGTGTTGTCAGGGCTCACGGATTTTGCTTTTGTCACAGCGTGTCTGGGCTCGGGGCTGTATAATATATTGCATGGGTGTTGGGGTTAATTTGGGGTTAGGATCGTGGCTCTTAGTATACTGGCATCTCGGTCTCACAGCTTCGGGAACCCAGGACCCGCCTTGACCTCGAGATCCTACCACATCCCCAAACCTTTACACCTTAAGAATCCGTAGTACCTTGAAACACCAAACACCCGCAAAGGCTCCATATAGTAAGTTACTTATTAAGCCTTAAAGGGGTCCCTATATATATATATATATATATATATAGGTACTTTAGGGCTTAAGTATCTACGATAAGGGTACATGGAGCTTTTTTGACTTAAACCCCCGGCCCTAACACCCTAAACCCTTTACACCCTATGCCATAGCAGCGACAACATTTCCCGTCCGCGATTCGTTCGTGCGAAATCCACGACATCTTTGCATGTAAATTGCAGGGCTGGCCTTAGAGCTATCCCGGAAAGGATGTAAATTGCAGGGCTGGCCTTAGATCTATCCCGAAAAGGAGTATTTATTCAGCTGGGCTAGGACCCATGGGGCCATGTTGTAAATTAAACCCCTAGCTCCTAGGCTTAGGCCCCGTGTCAGCTGCTCAGCAGCTCTAGATCTGCAGAACGAAGCAAAAGCTTGCTTCACATCTCCACCGAAGCTTGCAGCCTCGGCTGCTCAGCTCGAACATGCATACCCAGCCCTGGACCTATGTTAAACCTGATTAATTGAGGCAAAGGGCCAAAGGTAGTATCGCCGCAGCGTGCTTCGTTCCAAGCTTCTTGTGTGCACGGAGCTCGCGATTCCTGGAATCCCAGGGTGCATTGAAGCATAGCTAGTAGAATAATACTAGTATCGTAGATTCTTGCAATAAGTGGTAGTAGTTAGTAGCAGCAGCAGCAGCAGCAGCAGGAGGAGGAGGAGTAGTAGTAGTAGTAGTAGTACAGTATATAGTACGTAGTGGTAGTAGTAGTTTTGTAGTAGTAGTAGTAGTAGTAGTAGTAGTAGCAGCAGTAGCAGCACTAGCACTAGCAGCAGCAGCAGTAGCAGTAGCAGTAGCAGTAGCAGTAGCAGTAGCAGTAGCAGTAGCAGTAGCAGTAGCAGTAGTAGTAGTAGTCGTCGTCGTCATAATGTATGGTAGCTAGTATAATTATTAGTAGTGTAGCAGCAGTAGCAGTGGCAGTAGCGCTAGCGGTACTAGCACATGTGTACATAATGCTAGTCGTAGCGAGCAGCAGAAGCAGTACTAGCTGTACATGTAGCAGTACTGACTATATACCAGTACAGTATTATAAATTAGTAGCAGTAACAGTACAAGAATAGTCGTACTAGCTCGCTAGTAGTAGTAGTAGTAGTAGTAGTAGTAGTAGTAGTACTCTATCGTCGTCTTATAATAATAGGCGTAGAGGATAGTATCGTAGTGTTGTGGTACCATATATTATAGCCGAAGAAGGCAATTGAATGGCAAGGGGCTGACCAATCTGCCGTTGAAATCTTCTGAGCTGAAAGTGTGGTAATACCTGAAGTTGTACTTCTCCCGGCTGCTGAACCAAATCAACTCGTTGATTCCCTGGGATTGTGGCTACAAGCTTTAGGGCTTTCGGGTTTGGGATGCGTCTAGGGTTTAGGGTTTAGGGGTTTAGGGTTTATAGGGGTTTATGCCCAAATTGATGGTGTGGAGGCTGCACCAGCGAAGCATGCCAGAGCTCCATCCAAGGATGTTGGGGATGACACCTGCGTGGAGAAATTGGTTGTGGCTTCGAGCCTGGACAAGCAAATAACTAGGCTTTGTGCAATATATTACATGTTCGTTAGATTGAAGGCTTCGGGCGTAGGGTAGTACTAGGTTGCACTATATTATAAAGACCATACCTTGCGGATTTCAACCCAGTAGCTCGTACTTCCAGCATCATCCACCAAGCTAGTGCATATCCTTGCGAAGTCGTCGGAGTCTCGCCGGGGCATAGCTTCCATCGCTGCCATTCGAGGGTCATCAAAGAATGTGTGTAGCCGGGCTTGGCAGTGGTGGCATACATTGGAGCTGCTCCATCCGACTTCTTGAACCCCAGCCATTCCTAGTAACAGATCTCGGCAACATTGGCTTGGATAGAGAACTTCGGGTCTCAGGGTTATAATGAGGTCTAGGGTTTAGCTCACGTTCAAGCCTACCCAATATATATATATATATATATATATTATTGGATTAAGCTGGAAACCAGTGCTACTATCCGAGTCTCTTTGTAGAACTTCCAGTCTGCCCTTAGCTCGGTAACAGCAGCCAGCACTGGCTCCGTGTCGGGGTCCTCGTTCGGCCGGTAGCCTTGGAACAGCTGGTTCAAGGAATCGACCACCTCAGCACAGGTGGCAGCACGTCGTATATATAGTTAACTGCATACACATGTACTACATGACAGGTTTCGGTTTGGGTCGAACTTGTATGCTGATTTGGATCCAAGTGGCAGGCTTCATAAAAGCCTGAATGGTCGAAAATCCGGTCGATAGCGACTGTCAGGGATGATATCTGAAATCTACACACTAGGGCTACTAGCGGGTGGGTTTGGCTTGAGCTCGGGGGCTTCGACCTCTCGGATAATGAAGAGCGGCCAGTGTGTGGCCATCGAATGGGTCCTCATGTCTAGCACCATACCCAAACTCACTTGCGTGAGCTTCTCCTCCTTCGTCCACCGGACGTCGTCAGCATAAAGAAACAACGGCAGATGCTTGCAATCTGCCCCTTGGGCCCGGAGTGGATGTTCTGGGCCCCACTCTGCATGCGTGAACATATGCATCCAATATCCTTGAATCTCGGCGGGGTCGGGCACCAGGTGCTTGATCTTCAACAGGTGAGAAATCAACTGATGAGGGAGTACCACTGGTAATTTCCTCAAGTCCCAAATAATGCGAAAGGACAAACCAAAAGAGCGATTACCGAACGTTTGATATTAACTCAAGGTTTCAAGGTTTAGGATCGAGGGTTCGGGGGCCTAGAGTTTATGGGTAGGAGGTCTTAGAGGTTCGGAATTTAGAGTTTAGGGTTCAGGGTTATAGTCTAAGGTTTTGCATAGAAGGAGGCCTCGTCACCACAGTGGGGTCCAATGCACTCTTCATCATTGGAACATCTACCGTAGTCAACGGTACCTTAGATTGCATGGTCAAGCTCTACATATCTCACTCATCATGAAGTTGGGTCTATAAGTCTTTAGGTAGGGTTCAAGGGTTCAGGGTTTGGGATTGTAACGGTCTAGGGTCGAAGCTTTAAGTGTTGGGGCCGCTCGGCAACTGAGTCGATCGCCATATCCATAGCTCCACAAAGAACTCTCATCGAATCTCGCTGCAAGTTCTGCGGATGTTTTCCACTAGCACCGGCCACCCGAAGTCTCTCGGCTGTCTCCCGCAATCTGCCGCCAGCAGCATGAAGCTCCTGTCTTCAGGGGATTCTATGGGTCGGGGCCTCCTAGTTCAAGCTAGATGCTAGTGACACGGAACGGAACCTTGTGGGACTCTTCCAACAGCTGCCGGGCCTCGACGAAGCTAAGGTCCTGGCGCCATGGATCACACGGCGTGGAAACCAATTCGAAGGCAGGCTTATAAGCTCTGGACCCAATGCACTAAGCCCCGGACCCCTTTACCAGTGCATCGGAGGATGTGCCGCCCCAGTGGCCCCAGGTCGTCTTCGGATTCTGCGGCAGCGGGGTTGTGCTAGCGAGGTATTATATTTATTATAGCATCCACACGTGCAACGACTCGAGGCTAAGCGTGCATTTTCGGATTCATGTGCTTTGGAAGCTTCCCCGGCACATTCGAGGGTCTGGCATCGCGATGCTTGAAATGTAGATGGGCCGCCATGGACCGAAATCACAAAATCTGTGTGCACTTCAGAAACTGGCTCGGGACCACCCAAGCTGCAAGTCTGCATCTAGATCTAGCAGAACGGCAACTGCAGACCCCGTACAAGATGCTGCCGAGCTAGTGCCAAATACAGTACGAGGGCCCTCTAGTGATTCTAGCGTCAACATATTATTGAGCAGTATTGTAGAGCCCGGCAACACCCAGCTCGCCAGCACGGCACACCTGGCCAGGCTCAGCCTCGATCACTTCGATTTTTTGCCACCCTTCGCCTTGGCTTTCCCCTTTGGCTTCGGCCCTGCCTGGGCTGCACGTGGGATGGAGCTCGGCATCTACATTTGGAAACTAAGAATTCGAAGCCCCAAACCCAGAACCTAGCCTCAGCCCAATGCCCTCGCCCTTCAACCTATAGCCTCAACCCTAAACCTGGCTTAAGCCCTATACACCATGAATCAAGCCCTCAACCCTAAACCTTATGAGCCCCTCAACCCTTTAAGCCCTATACACCATGAAACAAACCCTCAACCCTAAACCTTATTAACCCCTCAGCCCTAAAACTAGCTTAGGCCCTATACACCATGAATCAAACCCCCAACCCAGCCTAAACCCTAAAGCACAGCAACTTGTCTTAGCAACTGGTACCCGGCTTGGTGCTACGTGGACATGTATGCTTCTTGGAGGCTTGGGGCTTGTGCTTCGAGTACCTTTTCAAATAATATCTTATGATCACTTTAAATGGGTGCCTTGATAGTGTAATATAGTGTGGCTGTGTGGTTTGATGAGATGTTGGACTGGTTGGGCTCCTAAGGTATGCTCGACGACTCTGCTTACTTGCCGCAATTTCACAGCTGCAGCCTGGTGGCCGACATCTTCTTCATCCCATTCGTCGATTGCACATAATTGGTAATCTTTTGATTGACATCATCCAAGAGCTCCTGAATAGTCTGACCCAAGCCCGTGTCCACCTCAGCGCTGAGCTTGTCCCTGGCCTCTCGAAGGCTTCTGCCGTGGTTCTGCAGATCCTTGAGAAAACCGTCGCGGATGGGCTGCGACCTGGAATTCGAATCAAGGGCGGTTAGCGGAGGCTAAGTCTAGGCTTCAGGGCTTAGGGACTTAATTTCGAGACCGGGGGACCTTACATGGTGGAGCTTAAGGGTTTAAGGGTTTACGGGTTTAGGCTCTCGGTTGAGATTTCAGGCTAGAGATTTTAGGTTTGGCTACATTGAATTGCATCAGGGGTACATACTCTCGTTCTGGGAGATCTCTTCCTGCAGCACCGTCGCCTCGTTTAGCTTCGTGGAAGCCAGGGCAATCTTGTTCCTGGCTTGGTTGGTGAGGGCCGCCTTCTTTTTCTTGTCCATGGGGTCCGGGAGGGCTGTCAAAGCCGAGCCTGCCTCCTGATCTCCAAGAGCCACGGGCAAGGCCATCGACGATGGCCGGCGTGTGATGCCTGCAGCACTGCTCGCAGCACCATTTGAGCCGCCCGGCACTGCAATCTCGAGGCCATGTGCCATGGCGGTCCTGGCGGGCATTAATTCGTGGGTCCCGGAGTCGGGGCAAGGGTTTCAGGGCCTTGGGTTTAAACAGGTATACAAATACAGGTTATTTGTTTAATTCAGCCCAGTAGCAGCACTGGTCGGGTGGACGCCCCATCCAGGTTCACGGCGTCCGTCTGCAGGGTCGTCGTCTTCGTACTCGTGTCTTTCCGCGTCAGGGTCGCTTCTTTGAAGGTCCGGATCAAGGTCCATTCCTATCGGGCTCATAGGGCTGAGGGCCGTTTAGGGTTCAATAAATAAATAGAAGTTTTTGTTTCCAGTCATCCAGCCTTGCATCCGGGCAGATCAGGATGCTTCAGGATAAAGGGAGCCTCGTCGCTGTCCGCCGGTAGCTCATCCTGGAGTTTCTGCTTGGCCTTAAAGATCTCCTCAGCCGGCCCGTCGCCCTCCTGCTGCCGTAGGTCACAGAGCCTGATGTAGTGCTCCTGGCCCTTCATGACCGCCTTGACAGAGGTCTCCACCTTGCACACGACCGTCGACGACAACCAGTCGCCGCCGGACCGCAAGTACTCGGCGAACAAGTCGTCCAAAGCCTTCGTTCCTGGGGGCATCGTATGATCTGATAACTGGTGCACAAGCTTAACTAGGCCTCTCAATATAATTAGCTATAGTGCACAAGCTTAGGCATCTCCTCGCACAAGCTTAGGCCTCCCTTCGAAGCACTCATATCAAGACATATATACAGCTTAGGCGCCTCGCTTCGCCTGCACAGCCACCTCTGCCACTTCCGGCGGGCAGTTGCTGCCTTGGACATCAGTGGCTTGCAATTGAACCAGCTGATGTATTTTTGAGCCAGGATCTACATTTTTAGGGGTTGATATAGGTTATAAGGGCGGGTTGTCTAAGGCCCTAGGGTTCCCGGTCTGTGATCAATTTGTTTGATGATTTAGATCAACCGCACTGTTCGGTATGTGGTTGAAGTTTGTCGGGTCTGGTACGGGTACTTTGGGCTCAGGGCTTAGGGATTTAGGCGGATATTTGAGTTGTAGGGTTCAAGGCAACAAAAAATATAGGGCTTAAGGCATTTAAATTAGGAGTTAGTTTAAGGGTTTAGGGGTTTTGGGGTTTGGGCGAAGACTCCAGGGATCATTTACAGATTTACAAGGAGCTAGTTCAGGGTTTGGGGGTTTAAGGAGTATAGAGATTTGAGGCCTCAGGACTTACATAAATCAATGTGAAGCACTCCGGATGGACCTGTGAAACTTCATGAAGACATTGTGGGCCACCCTCGTCATCCAATCCTCCTGGGATTCGTTTTCCTTCCTGGAGAGCGTGGCTTCCTGCCAAACAGTAGGTTTAAGCTATAATTATAAGAGTTGAGAGGGAGTTCATAGGGTTTGGGGGCAAGGGGCCGCGTGAACCCAAAGCTGTCCGAAGCCCCTATATATATATATATATATATATATATAGAGCGAGAGAGAGAGAGAGAGAGAGAGAGAGAGAGAGAGAGAG